AATATTTCCAAAGTGAGCATTACTGCTTCTCCTGAGTGTTTTTTCACTATCCTGTAAACTTTTATCTGTGCTCAGAATATTCCATAATTGTTTTAAAATGGACTGGGAGGGGACAGATTAGATGCAGCGGAGCTGTGAGGCAGCCGTGCAGGGGAGCCAGGCAGGGGAGCCCTCGTGGTGTCTAATTGTGGGCAGAGGCTGGGAAGACTCAGACTAATGGACAGGTTCGAGAAGGGTTCAGAAGGAGACCCCTCAGGCACTGGTGCTGAATAAGGTGTGAGGAGTAAGGAAGAAAGACAACCCAAAAATCAGTCCAGTGTTCAGTTTGGAAAACTGGGTGCTTCTATTGCTTTGTGTGGGATTAGCACAGCAGCCTTTTGGATGGGCCATCTGGTTCCAAGTACTTCAACCTAAATTCCACTCTGCATTCTACTAATAGCCTTATCTTTACCAAAAGGGCAGAAACTGTCATGGGAGCCGGTTAAGGAGAAATTACTTGCTTAAGGAAAATGTAGAGTCAACTAGGAATATTTACAAAGCATCTCATCATTATTATTTTTAAACAGAAGCCTAATTACCAGGAGACATATGTTATATGCCAGGCACAGAGCTAGGAATTAGACATAATAGATAAAGGTATATCAAAATGTATTTCTCAAAAACATTGATTCCTCTGATAGCCTGGAAGATCAGTGAAAGACATTGTTGCCTACTTATGATTGGAAAGGGAAAGGAGTCCTCTCTGCCCCAAAATATCCTCCTGTGGATATTTGCAATCCATATTTGAGATTCCATAGAACCTCCAAATAGGAGATCTTGGAACTCACATATTCAAACATTCTAGTATTTCTTTTGAGAAAACGGCTCTGAGAGGTTAAGTGATTTGTCCAGCACTACCCAGGTTGCTACGGGTCCCCGGTCTAGGGTCCCGAATTCCCCCGATAGTCCCTCTTTCAAATATTCTTTGATAATTGAAATACGGGAGGGAAGGTGAGGCAATGCTTTGGCATCCCTAATGCCTTGGAGTGACAGGCCTACGACCTCCTGAGAGGCTTTCCTCCTTTACCGAAAGAATTGCATAGGAAGCTTTGCAGAAGAGGCCACTGACATTTCACTGTAAGAATTTCTTTCTCCACTGCAGGCAGCTAGGACAGTGCTTCCTGGTTTTTCACCAGGTTGCAAAGGGACATTGTCCTCAGGGACACTTTCCTTGCCTGTCCTCATCCATTTAAATATCCGGTTCCAGCTACTGCCTTTGCCCAGAGCAGATGGGCCCCAAGTCACTGAATAGCAAAACTTTCACCAGAGCAATCTCTATCTAGTCCAGCTCCCTGCCTTGAAATAAGATTTTATTATCCCAAATTTTGCGCATAAGGGCCTGAATCCCAGAGAGTTTAACCGACTTGCCCAAGGTCATAGAGCTAGTAATTAGAACAGTCACTTAAGGCTATTACCTACTTAGAATCCTAGTGGCTGAAAGTGATCTGAGAAATACAGTGACCATATTTTCAGAACCCAAAACTAGGACAAACCCAAGTACATTTACAGGGACAGTGAACAGATTATTTGAATTGGTACTGTCCCAGAAAAGGGGATTTATGGCTGTGGCTGTCAGAGATCATCCAGTCCAATCCCCTCATTTCATAGTCTAGGCAACTGAAGCCCAAGGAGCCTAAGCAACTTGCCGGAGGTCGTAGGCAGAAATGTTTTCTGTTTTCTCAACTCTGAAGGTTGAGTCAACAGGGCGTGGGTGGGATAGGACAAAAAGGGGCCATTGATCCAGGGTGCTTCCCTCACATGGACTGACCTAACCCCACAGTGCCTGCTTTAATCCAGTATGGGTGCGGCTGTCTCCTAAACACCAGAGAAATCACATTTGAAGCCAGATAAAGTTCAGGGTCTTGAGCTCTTGCAGACCTGGGCAGCCAACGAAAGGAATCTGGAGACCTAAAGTACTTTTTCTTCAGGACCATAGCACTCTATGGAATATACCTGTAGTTTTCTAAGGTTTTCTTTTTTCCCCAGAAACAGGATGTTAAAATGATAAGATATAAGCTAATAACCCCCGGCATGCTAAATTCTAGTGTAAATCAAGGCAAAATGTCAAATAGGCAGGTATTTTAAAAGAATCCGAGTAAGCCCTATAATAAGCTCAGTACCATAAATATTTATTATTAAGTCTTCAATTTGCTTCTGACCCCTACTTCATGCACTGTTTGACCTCATTTTATATTTAGTAAGAGAAAAGAAGGCAGCATAAAGAATCAGCTCAAGGGCTCAGGGCAAGTCCATTTCCAGCCAGTTTCTTTGGCCTTAAGGCCCCCAGTCTCTACATTAATACTCCTTCCCAATATTAAAAAGTGCTCTTCATGGTGTCCTTTTAACACTGCAGCTATCCAAATTAGGACTCCAAAGAGCAGATGGAATCCTTCCAACTGCCAGCCTAACCTCTCCTCTATGCCAATGCAGAACTACTCTGCTGATAGAGAAATTGCTTCCCGGAAAACCAATTTCCTCCTTATTGTCCTGCGGGCTGCTGCGAGACACCCTCCTGGGTGGGGTGGGCTCTTGGCCTGCTTGTTCTACTGAGAGAGTGAAATTGCAAAGAACATGTTGCTGGGACTGAGATTTAGAAGATATGTTTGAATGGGAGTTGTGTTCCCGAGCTCCTGGTTTAGACATTTTTTTCTGATGCTTCTTTTCCATTGATCTAGTTGCTTTGCACCCTCCGAGGGCCTGAAGCTAGTGTTCTCAAAGCCTTGCTGCCCACGATACACCCACTATTATCAAAGCCCAACAATTATTTCATTCATTGCTTCTTTCATTCATTTCCTCTAAATTTGTTTCTAAAGAATCGTAACCTGCCATTCAAGCTCACTATTCCGCTGGCAAAAAGTCCAGATAGGCAGTGAATGGCCAGATCTTACAAAGTGCTCCCAACACATTGTCCAAATTGGAGCACTTTTCTATGTCCCTCTCCACCCAACCTTCAATCCCGCCTTGGATGAGAGCAAGTGACAGTGAACTTGAGAAGAGCTAATAAAAACCTGATCTCCCTGATAGCATCTTCTTTAATTATTTAAAGAAAGAGACAGCTTGTTTAAAAACATTTCCTGTTCCAGTTCTTTTGTTAAAACTCTCTTGGACTCAGTGACAGGTTGTGGAGCTGAGAGTAGGGAGGGCTGGCATTGTGGGAAGAGTCAGCAGAAAAGATGCTTTCAGATAGAAAAAGAAGGACAATGCAAAAGACCCTTTGACTGAAGAAAGTTATGCACACATTTTCTTTTCTAGCCAAAAATATCAGAAAAGACACCTTACATATTAGAGAGTTAATTTCAGAAGGCCAAGAGAAGAGTCAAGTTTAACTTGCTGTTACCTGTGAATGCAGCAGAGTGAGGAAAGGATCTCAAGTCAGATCTGCGAACTGGGTCTACCACTCAGTAGTTGTGTGACCTAGGATAAGCTATGTAACTGACCTAGCCTTCAATTTCCTCATCTGTAAGACAGACATAATCACAGCTACCTTATCAAGGTGATTTGAGGATGAAATGAGGGTTGTAGGGAGGCACACAGGAGCTTAGCAAAGACTAGTACTTCATGCATACACAACACCTGTGATCTTAAAATGACTAGGGCACTGAATGAATTGAGATGACAGAAGGTCAATGGGGGTAAGTACCTGGTCTGTTCCAACATTGTTTCCGGTGGATTTATTTCCCTGCTGGACTTTATTCCCTGGAATATGCATTTCAATTGCTCACACACATTTAATGAATAGGTACATAATTAGGATTAGACACTGGACTCACTGGGTCTTTTTATTTTGTTTTGCATTGTTTGCTCATTTGTTTTCCGAGACGGGGTCTCACTCTGCTGTCTAGGCTGGAGCACAGTGGCTAGTCACAGGTGTGATCATGGTGCACAGCACTTAAGGGATTCTGCTGCCTCAGCCTCCTGAGTACTTGGGATTACAGGTGTGCACCACCATGCCCAGCTCTCTGGGTCTTTCAGAGATCACAAAAGAAAGTTCAGATGGAAGCTGAACACTAGGAGAGAGACATAAAGTTGCAAATAGAGCTATGGTGTCTGCTCAGAAGCTTTCTTGGTAAATGTGGGGCCTTTGGGAATCAGTTGCTGCTCCTTTTCTGGAAGAGGAAATATGGAGCAGACAGAATAGAGAGCCAGTGGAGATGGGTCTGTCTTCGTTCATTTATGCTGCTGTAACAAAATGCCTGAGACTGAGTAGTTTACAAACAACAGAAACTTATTTCTCACAGTACAGAAGGCTGGGTGGTGAAAGATCAAGGTACCAGCAGGCTCAGTGTCTAGTGAGGACTTGGTCTCTGCTGGTTCTCATATGGTGGAAAGGCAGAAGGGGCAAAAGGGCCAGTTGCCTCCAGCCCTTTAATAAGGAACGAATCCAGTCCATGAAGTCAGGGCTGCCGTGGCCTAATCGCCTCCTAAAGGCCCCAGCTCTTAATACTGTTGCATTAGGGATTGAGTTTTCACATGAATTGTCGGGGGAACACAAACTTTCGAACCATAGCAGGGTCCAAACTGAGAATCAGTAATAGGAAAATAAACAAGGAGGAGGGAGAAACTGAAGTATGCTACTCGGCCTAACCACCAGCCTCCTCCTGTGCGTATCCACCCTTGTCTGTTTCCTGGCCCTAGTGGGGACTAATCATTGGACTAATCTCAGCAATATTTACAAAGCACTTACCTGGGCAAGGCAACGTCCAGGTATTGTGGGAAAGAACAGGATGATTCATTTTCTTTAACAACACTTGTACGGAGCTTACTGTGTGCTAGGCACCTTTCTAAGGACCTTATAAACATTAACTAGGTTAATATTCGGAACAACTCAGTGAGATGAGTATCTTGTTATCGCAATTTACCAATGAGGAAACTGAAGTATGATCACAATAGCTGCTTTTTGGTAAGGACCTGCAATGTGGGCAGGGCTTCAATGTTTCTTAAATGTAGTCCTCAGAGCTCTGTAAAATAAGATTAGTATAGCTTGTATTTTATAGAGGAAAAACTGAAGCTCTTTGAGCTTGGGTGACTTGTTGACGGCCATGCAGGCAGCAAGCGGTGGAATTCCACTGCATCACACCAACTCCTGGATCTCCAAGTCACAGTCTCTATCCTCAGGAAGCTTAGATGAGACTTGAGATAACCACACCTTATAGACAGATGCAAATGTGCAGCAAGAATTTCCTAAGTCCTATCTGTCTTCCCCACTCCCATCGCCACGACTGCCTGGGATTGAAGCTCCTCATCTTGCTGTTGGTGGAATGGAATAATCAGACTTACAGAAAAACATGCAGAAAAAGTGAGGTGAGACCCCCACCCTCCAAAAGTGGCCTCAGGCCTGAAGGTTTAAAGACAGTCTCAGGTTTTATTCTGTTACTGGTGCCTTCTTAACCCCTGCCTTTGGCTCCTCACACCTCAGCCTTTTTCTACCCTTACTCTTCCTTTATCTCCAAGTCTATGTGATTGAAAAATAATCATCCCTGAAAAGAGAAGGAAGGGGTCTCAATGAGACAAGAGTGGGAGGAGGTGAAGGATGGCTGAGTAAGTGGGGAGGTGGGGGCCCCAGGGTGGAGTTCAGAGGCCTCATTCCCCATGAAGTCCACTCTAGGCAGAGGGGGGCCTTGGCTCAGGCTCTGCAGGGCAAACAGCAACATTGCTTCCAGAGCCTGTGCTGGGGATTTGCACTGGCAGGAGCCTTCTCCAGGGGCAGGAAATTCTGTAGCTCCAGGGCAAGGGGGGATGGAAGCTGGGAAGAGCCTCTGAGTTGAATGCTGATCAGACCTCTCCCCATTCTCTTCCTCTCTACGCAGGAGCCAGAAGCCCAGTGTTGTGGTTCACACTGCCTTGAAGTCTTGCCCTTTGTCCTCTTCTTCCTGAACAGATCTGTCTTCCTGGGGCAGGACTTGCATTCCTCACACCATCCTTTCTGAAGGTGCTGAGGTAAACCTGGTCGAGCCGGTTAGCTCTGGGGTGGAGCCCGGTGATGGCCTGATTCAGAGCCTCTGTTACCTGGGGCAGCCAGAAGCGAATGAGAGGACAGCTGTAAATCATCTCTGGCCTGCTGATGACATTCTCCTCTCCCAGCTGAAGGACTGAGGTTGTTCCAGGCCTTTGAGTGACTCTGGGCAGGGCTGGGAGAGGACACCTCTCAGCCAGTGCTTGGGGAGGAGGAATTCAGATCCTGGGAAAGACAGCAAGCAGCAGCAGGTGTGGAGTAAGCAGGGAGTGACCGTCTGGGACAATTGCCTAGAATAAACACTATTGTCTGCCACAGGCTTTTCTGTGCCAGCCTGGGCCTGCTGAGCTGACCGTGTTTGAAGGGCCAGTTGTGGGCTAAGCTAGGCAAGCTGAGATCAGTCCTGCAGGAACCTGAGGTCATCACAGGATGTGAAGACAGAGGCCAGGAGCTTGTGCGACCAGGAATGAGTGAGGAGATGGAAAGTCTCAAGGGAGAGAAGACTGAGGAGGAAGGCTGGAACGAGGCTGGGTGACATTCATTCATACCAAAGGCTAACTTCTGGTGTCATCTTGGATGGTCCAATTTAAAAGAAACCACAGAGCCTCTCTCTGGACATCTAAGGCTGGCTTCAGTTACACCCACTGTCTTCTCGGATCCTGGAATGCATATGTTCCTGCGGCCACTCCTGCTCTGTCTGTCCCTGTGACCCTCCAATTTTACCCACCTCCTGGTGCTATTCTTCTCTATCACAGGAAACTTGCATCCTTCTATTATTATCTTCACTGCTCAGAAACCCAAACTGTGAAGACACAAAGATGTAACCACATGAAAATCCACACTTGACCCTAATTTTACCCACAGTGATGTAATTCACCTTGTCCTCAGGGACAGGGAGAATTTACCACCTCATTCTTTCCTCTCCCTTTAGACACTGAGCATTAGGAAATTGTTATCTGGAGGAAAGGCCCATTGAGGAGGGTACTCCGGTGACCCAAAAACAGCCCTGGAGGAAGCCTGCCATCCAGAGCAGGCTACGACCCACTGATGGGTGTCCTAGGACACTGGCCCTGCTCCACTCCCCTCCCTGGGACCTCTGTGAGGTATTTTAATTCAGGAATGATAAGCACAGATCTCTAGCAAAGTTCTAACTTGATCACAGCCAGAGTTAGGTGAGAATGCAGCCATAGGGAAGAGGGGGGCAGCAGGCAGTCTCTGGCAAGCACCAAATTGGAGCTCTTACTTCCTCTCCTCCAATCATCTCTCATGGAACCTAGGCCATCTATTTTCATTCTGGAACAAAGAAAGAAAAGGAAGAGGGGAGGAGGAGGGGGAGGGGAGGGAAAAGAAGGGGAGGGGAGGGGAGGGAAAGGAAGGGAGGGAAATTGGGGAAGAATAAAGAGGGGCAAGACAGTGGTTGTGGAGTACCCCCTGGTTATAATGTGTCCACATTTTCTCAAGTTGCAGCTTTCATTTGACTATTATAGATGAACGAAGGACAAGAACTAAATAGAGCCAAGAAAAAGGAAGTGGAAGGAAGAATCATGGCTGAAGCAGTGGAGTATATTTCCTTTTACTTATTTCCCAGGCAAAAAACAACTGATACAAGTCTCCATGATTGCCTTTTGTTCATGTATTAGGAAATCTGTATTACTTGCTCTGCTGTCCTGGTGTTTCAGGTTTTTATTTGTATTTCTTCATGTAATGTCAATAAAACATCAACCGGCAAGACAGCCTGAATGTGTGTTTCTGACTTCCTTGAAGGCAAGGGCCCACCTGCCTAGCCTAATACATTGCACACAAGCAATTAATAAACATTTCCAACTTGAAGACTTTTCATTCTCCCTGGGCTCCTGTAATTTGGTTCCACAGTAGTCTCTGTTATGACATTCCTTGGCTGCGACTCAAAATCGCCATTGCTGTGTGTAATCAGAAGGCCAGTGACAGAAGAAGTAATAGTTTCCTCATTAAGCCTTGTCGTATCTCCTCACCTCCCAAGCCAGGGTACTTCCAGCACGGGGTGTGTCCTCTGATATTCAGGAAAAAGCAACCTCAGAGTTGTTGACAGAAGTTCCAGCAGAAGCAGCCTCCTAAAGGCCCCGCATGCTCATTATTGTACGAAAGTATTGCACTAAAAGGGGAAAACTAAATATGGTGTCTGGTGCCCAAAAAGGCTCTTGGAAAAGTGTTTGCTGCCAGAAATGGGTTTTTCCTTGAGGATAGACTCGGCCAATCAGAGGTTTTTCTGATGATGTAATGCTTTGCAAACAAATTGTATTGGTGGGAAAGCTCTTAGGTATTGTAAGGGTGTAGAGTTTCCACTGTAGCTCAGGAAAAATTGTCTGTGGCTTCGTTTAAGTTTCAACTGAATTCCATTGTGCTTATATTTCCAACCAAGCTGAACTTGTGTTTGGCACTTGTTAAAAAATTGGGAATCAAGAAACTTTCTTTTCCTCTGATGTCGAAAACTGCTGATTCCTTGTCTAAGATGTGTCCATTTAAAAGAAAAAAAAGCAACGTCTGCTATGTGCTGTTGTCATCATCTCACAGCTGTACTTACCTTCATCAGAGGCCCTAGGAAGCTGACCAGCAGAGTATCAGTACAAAATAGCAGGTAGGAAATGGTGCTACCACAAGTTAGGCTGTAGAAAAAAATCTTTGGAGTGGAAAAGAAGTCAGAGCACAGGCTACACACGCCTGTATTTCTATCTGATGAATTCGTAGGCATGCACTTGCCATAAGTCCGCTATGCACAGCGATGCAGCACTAAAAATAGCTCAGAGCTTATTTCCCTCCTTCCAAATGTGTCGTCCCCAGCTCTAGAGCTTTTCCTCCCCCAGACAGAGCCCCTGCTGTCTGCCAGTCTGGGCTGGAATTAGCACACCGGTGCTGCATAACTGGGTGTCCCTGCTGCTGGAGGCAAAGGCAGGTGCAGGCAGCTATACCTGCCATTGTGTCCCTTGGTTACCTGCGTCCAGGAGCCTGGGCTACCCACCTTTCACCACATATGCAAAGGATGTCATCGCCTGACTCACTGTCTCTGTTATTTCAGTCAGCAGGCTGTTCCTGTCCCCACCACCTCTCCACCACATCACAGCCTTTCTCTCTGGATCATTCGCCACACCCTCCCCTTATCCGGGAAACCTCAAGCCAGCTCCACCTTGCTTAAAATCCTCCGTCTCTCCAGTCAGTTCCTTTTTCTCAGCTTTTATCTTTGCCGCTCTCTTCGCAAATATGGGACACTTAATGATGGCTGACTCAGACTGTGCCAGTGACTTACAAATATGCTGATATATTTCATTCTATGTACCACCTATATTTCTTCCCCCTCACCCCCTGCCATAGCCTAGTGGAAAGAGCACTGGGCTTGAATCCAAATGCAATGCCCTGGGACTCAAAATTGGGAGAATAAAACATCTACTACAGGGATTTTGTAAGATTAAATAAGATAATATATACCTGGCACATAGTAGGAGCTTTGTAAAGATTGGTTGAATCCGATCCTGGAATATAAACCTTTAGATATTCTCCTTCCCTTCTGTACACACTTTTCCATTTCCCCAGCACCCAGTCCCTCTCAGAATGGGGACATGTAATCAGTGCCAACTGGCATACCTTGATTTTTAGTATATCTTTTTGGATCAGGAATTCTTAGCAAATGGGTAATTTTGGGCATCAAGAAATTACAGTGACTACGAAATAACCTTATAGGTTGGGAGGGGAAGTAGGAACTTTCAGTGGCATATTCAAGGCCCACACAACAAAATTGCATGGGGCACACTGAGATGCCATTGCTTGTCACTATTCCTCACCTATTTCCTCTTACTCTTCTGGTCTGTTCTTACTTTCAGCTGACATTCAACTAATTAATTTCTACAGAGGTGTTAACTGATAAGGCAGTTCTGATAGAGCGTCATCTGATAATAGCCCTAAAGGCCCAGCCCGACTTGTTTTGCCAGGCCTCCTATCACATCTGAAAAGCAGCTTCCAAATGATGGAAACACTTTGCCGGCCCACAGGCAATGTTTTCCGTGGGATCAGAAAGGAGTGGGAGGCAGGCAGTGCTGTTCACCCCTAAGGCCAGCACTGGTGTGGCTTAAATGCAGAGAGAGGTTTCTTGGGCTGGAGAGGTAGGCAAGACCTCAGCTTCTAACCCCCACCTTTCCCATCCTCAATGGTATCTCTTAATCTGCTGCCAGGGGGCCAAACAACAGGGACACAGGTAATGGGCTATTCAAAGCCTCCCAATGACCTCAGTTCTTAGCAGCTTCTGGAAGGGAAACTTTTAGAACTCTGACCCTTCCAGACAACCCCCACCTTCCACCTCCCTCCCTGGGTACCAGACAAGGGTACCTTTTGTAAAAGACACACTGGTCTTGCTGCGCACAGTTCTCATTTTGCTGGCTGAGTACTTGCATGATCCTGACACTGAGTAACCCCCAAATCTTACACCGTAGGTCCCTCATTTGTCTCACCCCAATCCCAGCTCTGCAGAGTTGCTAGATGGGTAGATAGACATGCACGTCTCATTTTTCATTGCTTCAGGATGTTTAAGGCACATTCCTAATCCCTTTATTTGAGCTGCAGTGAAGCCATATTAGAATCTGGAATCTTTGAGTCCTATTCCAGAGCTTTCCCTCTGTACTAATGCTCCCAGGAGCACTAGAACCCAGCATCCATATACAAAGGATGCATTTAGCTACAAAAGTAAAAAATTCAAACTTTTCTCTAAAAGTTCTCTGTGTTTTAAAATACATTTCAAGGAGGTGAAACATTGGGGTTTTGAGTTTTCACCTAAGGTACTCAATACCTTGGTGACATAGTTTGGATATTTGTTCCCTCCAAATATCATGTTGGAATGTAATCCCCACCCAGCATTGGAGGTGGGGCCTGGTGGGAGGTGTTTGGATCATGAGGGCGGATCCTCATGGGGCTTGGTGACATCCTCCTGGTAATGACTGAATTCTCGCTCTATGAGTTCACTTGAGATCTGGTTGTTTAAAAGAGCCTGGAACTTCCGCTCTCTCTTGCTCTCTCTTTTGCCATGTGACACACAACTTCCCCTTAACATTCCTGAGGCCTCACCAGAAGCAGATGGTGGCATGATGCTTTGTGTACAGCCTGCAGAACCATGAGCCAAAGAAGTCTCTTTTCTTTATAAATTACTCAGTCTCAGGTATTCCTTTACAGCAATGCAAACAGACTAACACACCTGGCTAATCTAGGTGTTTTCCCCATCCTATTTCTCTGCATCACTAACTGACATTACCTATGCACCTTAACACTGCTTTTCCCAGTAGAAAAGAGCAGGTGGGAGAGCCATGTGCCTGTTTAAGAGGCTATCTTGGGAAGACCTGTCTCAGCTGATGTGCAAGTTCTGTTAGCAAGTCTGCATCCAGCCTCACCAAACCTGCTTTGCTTCAGGCACTGATGCCTTCAATCCATAGGCTCAACACTACATTCTCAAGCTAGTGCAGACCAAGTTAGGCAAGAGAAAAGTTGTAGGCCTTTCTCTCCCACTCTGGGCATTCACTCTTAAAGGTGAGGCCCTAGGCAGTCACATAACCCCAAAGCTGCAGTCTCCTTCCCTTCTTCGTACTTGCTTAAAATGACTATTTTCCCCATTTTCATGCCAGTTCTACTTCTGGAGTGGCACCTGTTGTGAAGCCCTGCCCCTTAGTGGGGCCCCAATCATACTATCTCTTGTTAGATCCTTCTTTTGAGGGGGTGGACTTGGCTCCTGCCACCCCTAGTCCCTTGCTGGGATCCCGATTCATCCATTCCCGTCATCTGGAATACCTGCTGCCTCCCTGATGTCAACCATCTTCACCATGTCCCCTCTGCCTGGCCCCAGTGTATGTCTGGATTGATGCCCTGTTCAGCCTGGGAATTTCCTCGTAGCCCTGCTCTTTCTGTGGGCCATGGTACTGCTGGGGTGCTTTCTGTTGGCTGTCTTACCCGATGATCATTTAAATAAAACTGACTACACATCACAACCTGCTGTTTCGTGAGAAAAAAATTTCTCCAATCCCACTCCCATCCACACCCTATGTTCTTGGCCATCTATTCTGACTTTATTCCTGCCTTTGGCACTGCCCAAATCTGGCAGTCTTCCTGTTTTCCATTCTCTTTGGACCCTGGCTCTCCTCCCCACTTTCTGGCTGGTTCAGCCGTTCTTCCTGGTATTCTCATTGTCTTGGGGGAGGGGTCTGTATGGTGCTTCCTGGCCCCTCAGAAATCCTTGTTTCTTCTTCTGGTCAGCCCTTGTTGTGTCTCAGTCCTCAGTCTTACATCTTCCTACTCCCACTATGGTTTGAAACCTACTTTTATGCATTAAGAGGAGTAGGATACATTAGTAGGCTACCTAACTTAAAGAGCCTGGAGGGAGAACAGGACAACCTTTGGTCTTGGCCTCATCATAGTCCAGTTTCCTCCTCCTTTCTCACAGCCAAGTTCATTTTTGACTATTTAAAAACCTGTAGCAGCCAGGCATGGTGGCTCATGCCTATAATCGCAGCACTTTGGGAGGCTGAGGCAGGCAGATCACCTGAGGTCAGGAGTTTGAAACCAGCCTCACCAACATGGTGAAACTCCATCTCTACTAAAAATACAAAATTAGCCAGGCATGATGATACACACCTGTAATCCCAGCTACTTGGGGGGCTGAGACAGGAGAATCACTAGAACTCGGGAGGTGGAGATTGCAGTGAGCTGGGATCAT